TTCATTTTATTGATGGTTTGCTGTGCAGAAGATTTTTAGTGTAACATAGTCTCACTTGTTTCTTTCTACTTTTGTTGTCTTTATTTTTGGAATCAAATAAAAATAATCATTTCCAAGTCAGATGTCACAGAGCTTACACCTTTGTTTTCTTATAGGAGTTTTACGTTTTCAGGTCTTAAATTTCAGTCAATCAATTCTGAGTTAGTTTTTGTGTGTGGTATGAGGCAGTGATCTGGTTTCATTCTTTTCCATGTGGCTGTCCAATTTTCCTAACACCATGTCTTGAAGAGACTGTTCTTTCTCCATTGTATAGTCTTGTCTCTTTTGTTATAAATTAATTGATGGTATGTGCATGGGTTTATTTCTAGGTTCTTTTTTTCTGTTCCATTTGTCTAAAGTGTTTGTATGCCAGTAACATACTGTTTTGATTACTGTAGCTTTGTAATATAGTTTAAAATCTGGGGGCATAATGCCATCAGCTTTGTTCTTCTTTCTCAACTTTGCTTTGGCTATTCAGGATCTTTTATAGTTCCATACAAAATTATTTTTTTTTCTATTTCTATTAAAAAGTGCCATTGGAAACTTGATAGGAATTGCATTGAATCTATAGATGGTTTTGGATAGAATGGACATTTAAACAATATTAATTCTTCCAATCAAAGAACAGAATCTCTATTTGTGTCTTCTTCTGTTTCTTTCATTAATGTCATAATTTTGGTGTATAGGTATTTTACCTCCTTAGTTAAATTTATTCATAGGTACTTTATTCTCTTTGATGCAATGATAAATGGAATTTTCTTAATACATTTTTCTGATAGTTCATTATTAATGTATATAAACACAAAATATTACATATTGATTTTGTATCTTGCAACTTTACTGAATTCATTGATTAGATATTATAATTGTTCTTTGGAAGAATCTTTATGGTTTCTCTAATACTATGTTATTTGCAAATTGTGACAGTTTTACTTCTTCTTTTACAATATGGATACCTTTTATAGTTATTTCTTGCCTAATTTCTCTGACTAGGACTTCCAATACAATGTGGAATAAAAATGGTGAGAGTGGGAAGAGAGGGACCTTTTTCTGAGCAAATGTTGACCTGAGAGCTAGTGAAGAGGTGAAGGTGGGTTGGTGAGTTGGAAAACTCTAGGCAGAGATATAACCAGACCATAAAGAGGGAGAGAGGGGGAAGAGGGGAATTAATGAGGCAGAAAAGGGTGGGAAGGGCCAGATTATTCAGGAATTTGTGGGCCCAGTTAGGAAATGTAATCATGGGCTAAGATCCATGGAAGCCACTTCAGGGCTTCAATCTGGAGAGTGACATGAGAGGATGTGCAATTTCAATGGGTCCTGAATATCCTTGAATGCAAAATGGAGATAGGAATGCAGAGTCTAAGGGGACATCACACAGTCTAAGGGGACATCTACTATTGTTGCAGAAGTCCAGGTGAGAGATGCTGTAGATCAAAGAAGTATGTGTGTATAGAGGGGCGGGGGTCTGGAAGAGGAGAGTGAGAGAATTAGAGAGGGGAGGAGTCCTATGGGGTCAAGCATAAAGGTCAGATTTGTAGCTGGAATAAATGGATGGGGATGGTGCCATCCATTGAGATGGGGACTAGAAGACTAGGTTCAGGGGAAGATCATGAGTGGCTGATATTTTGTGATGAATATTTGGAACTGCAGAGTTGATGGTAGATATATACTGGAGTTGCCAGATCATTATGATCTCTGAATGCATAATAATCTGGCCACTCAGTGTATATCCTATATAATAAAAGGCTAATATGCAAATTGCTCCCTTGACCAGGAGTTTGACCAGCAGGCAGGCTGGCCAACCGCCCATGTCCCCTCCCGCTGGCCAAGCTGGATGGATCTCACCTATGCATGAATTCATATACCAGGCCTCTAATCCTATCTAATAAAAGAGTAATATGCAAATTGATTATGACTCCAATACACAAGATGGCTGCCCCCATGTGGACACAAGATGGCTGCCACAAGATGGCCAGCAGAGGAGGGCAATTGTGGGCAATCAGACCAGCAGGGGAGGGCAGTTGGGGGAGGCCAGGCCTGCAGGGGAGGGTAATTGGGGGGATCAGGCCTGCAGGGGAGGGCAGTTGGAGGGAATCAGGCCTTCAGGGGAGGGTAGTTAGGGGTTACCAGGCCAGCAGGGGAGAGCAGTTGGGGGCAATCAGGCTAGCAGGGGAGCAATTAGGTGTCAATCAGGCTGGCAGGGGAGTGGTTAGGGGTGATCAGGCTGGTAGGCAGAAATGATTAGGGGCAATCAGGCAGGTGAGCGGTTGGGAGCCAGCAGTCCTGGATATGAAGATATCTGAGATTGGAGAGGGTGCAGGCTGTTCTGAAGAAAAGCACCATGCACCAATCACTAATTTTGTGCATTGGGCTATATATATGAGAGTAATATGCAAATTGATTATCAGTCCAATACATAGGATGGCTGCCCCCATGTGGACACAAGATGGCTGCCACAAGATGGCCAGCAGGGGAGGACAGTTGTGGGCAATCAGACCAGCAGGGGAGGGCAGTTAGGGCAGTTGTGGGCAATCAGACCAGCAGGGGAGGGCAGTTAGGGCAGTTGTGGGCAATCAGACCAGCAGGGGAGGGCAGTTGCGGGAGGCCAGGCCTGCAGGGGAGGGATTACAATCTCTGAATACATTATGATGTGTTCAGAGATCATAATAATCTGGCACTCAGTGTATGTCTATACTTAGAACAGATGTGTTGTTAGATTATCCAAAGGATAATGGCTTACTGATGTTAAGTGTAGCCCTGGGTTTGGAGGAGATCCCAGTTGTAACTTTAACATCTTAAAGACTTGGTGCAGGAAGATGAGCCAGTAAAGGACTCTTAGGAGTGTTGATGGGAGAAGAAACACAGTTCATTGTCTCAGAAATCTAATGGTTGGTAGCCGAATGCTGCTGTAAGAGCTCACTTCAAATTCAGGCTGAAGCACGTCCATTGATGAAGTGACAAGGGGGTAATTGCTGCACTTTAGCAAGTAGTATTTTGTTAGAGTGATGGACATAGACATTAGAATGGAAGAAAAAACAGGGAGTGAGATAGGAGAGAGATATGGTGAGGAGGAGTCTTCCTAAAGAGGTCTAAGATGAAGACCAGATTTCAGATCTGATTTTGGCCCTATGTGAGCAAGCTCACTTAGTCTCTCAATCTTAGAACATTGCACCCCCCCACACACAAAAAAAAACCCAAATCAAATTCTTTTATCTGTTGGCAACAGTAGAGTTTGGACTCACTAAGCTATGGGTTACTATATCCATCTCTGCCTGCCTCTGGGGTCCCATGTGTTCTGCCTCAGGATACTCTGAGTTGCTGTTGAAAATTTGGGTGAGAAAGAGCTGAAGATTGTTGTCAAGTAACCAGGTATTCCTAGCTGGACCTCTCCCCACAGGAGCTCTTGTTTCCTAGAAATGATGTCTTTCAGGAAAGGAGACCGGGCCGCCACAGTAGGTGTGGAACTTCTTGTTAGGTTACCCTTTTCTTGGTAACTCAATTTTTATTTTCTCCGATGGGTTTGTATCTCTACCTCTGTTCCTGTTTAGAAGATAGACCCGTCTTATTCATTTTATTCCAGTCTTCATTTTACTTCAATAGTGCAGAGGCTGCCATCAGGAGGTTGTGTGTTCTAGTGGAAAGGGGATCATACCAACCCTCAACCATGCCCATTTCACCAGGGCCTCCTCACAAGGACTGCCTACCATGGATGTGCTCAGTAGCCAGACAGGAAGGTATGGGGGTGGAGATAGGAAATGTGGGCTAGGGGGAGGAATGGAGTAGCTCTGGTGATAGGTTTCACCATGGAGCCCCCTGCTGTGACAGTGACTCCAATGCTAAGTCTGAGGAAGAGAAAGCTCCAGTGAAGAGAAGCCAGACTCTGACACGGGGCCGGTAAAAAGACCACAGGTAGGACAGGTCACCTGATGAAACAAGTGCATCTTGGGAAGCTTGCAGGGATGTCCTTATAAAAATGCAAAGCAAGTGCAAAAGAAATTAATGTGATCTTTAAAAGATCAGAGTGAGTCTGAACATTGGTTTTTAAGATGCTGTATCAATTAGAGACCAGAGAATTTTTTTTCCTGATGATATTTATTTCATAAATGTAGTTATTTTTCTAAAACATATTAAAATAGAAAACATGTTCTTTTGATCAATTTATACAAAGAAAATACCAATATAGTAATAAAATACTGAAAATATATGAAAAGCACCAGAACATTAGAGAAATTACACTGGCAACAGTTCTAGGAATATATTTTTTTTTGCAATTGTACAATAAAGTGCTATTAAATCCAGTCAAAATTAGTGGAAATATATAAAAAGTAATGCTATCATTATGAAATTTGAGGCTAGGTTTACCAGCAATTGCATTTTTAGGCAACTTGCAGATCAAACTAATGATATCTCAATGTTTTCATGCAAAAATCTATTCATTTCCATCAAGTTGAAAACAATCTAAATCTACATATATGTTGGTTCTTGGTAATTTGGTCATGAAAAAGTAATGATGTGATTCAAAATACAATAATTATAGAGTACCAAAAACAATCATACAAATGTGATTAAATAAAATCAAATAAGACAGAATAAAATCACATGTAAAAATAGTGGTTAATCAAGACAAGTACACACGTTTAATGCCTTTGATTTTACAGTAACTTTCAGTAATTTTGCTAGTCACATTTAACAGACACACACATGTTAATAAGATATGTTATTAAATTCAACTGACCAGATATTAAGGAGGAACATTTTAGTGAATCAATGTAATTATTATATGAAAAATTAAAGGGGCACTGTTAGGATAGTACATTTCCAATTTTGACTAATTATTTCCTCATTTATTTGCTGAGGAACAAAAGACATGTATTTTGGTATTTGATTATATTGAAGCCAGAAGTCTAACATATAAGGGAAGACCGCTGTGCACAAACACAGGGGGGTACTATGGGTAGTACTTAGGGTGGACTGCAGTCATTTTCACGTCTGGAGTTGGCAAACTGAAACAGAAAAACCCAAATTAAGACAGAGTATCAGACCAGTGTCCTTTTAAGGACTCTCTTATATGGCTCTTCATAACTCAGTCTTGGAATCATCAACTTCACAATAAAAAAATCTCCAAACATGGCTCAATTAAGACTCACCATTTATTTTACAGGCAGACTATTTTTTCTTTTGTATAAGGTAGATTTACTTGTGAACCGACATGGACTGAAATGTGATATTAATGAGGACAAACTGATTTAATAGCAAGGTGCTTCTATTTAGGAATTTAAGAACTGCCTGGGTATTACTATGACAAGGCAGAGCATCAGGCAAGTAACTTAGCCCTGGTCTGAAGGTTTTTCAGCTCATCACAAGTTGTTTTATACTCTGAAGTGAAGAGCTGACACTTGAGTTTCGCTTTTTTTTTTTTTTCATGCTTATAGATACTCCAGTCTTTTGTCAAGTTCCCTTTTCATTGTCTGACTTGAACAAGGAACTGAAATGTAAACAAATTCTACTGCAATGTATCTCAAAAACTAACCCTGCAAACATTTTTATCTAGCTCCTTTAAGGAAAGAGGGTGAAGATGGCGCAATAGATGACCAGGGTTTTATAACAAATGAAGCAAATGGGTGAGGTACAGCCATAGTGAGCAACATGAAAATGGCATAAAAAAGACTGGAAAGTGGAACTGAAGAGATTTTCCCTCTGGACATCACCAACAGAATTAAAATAAAATCTAACCAAAGGAAGAGTGTTCAGAAAAAGAAATCTCAGCCCTGGCCTGTGTGGCTCAGTTGGTTGGGCATTGTCCCATGCACCAAGAGATTGTTAGTTCAATTCCTGGTCAAGGCACATGCCTGTGTGTGGGCTCCTTCCCCAGTAGGGAACATGTAGGCGGCAGCCAATTGATGTTTGTCTCTCACATTAATGTTCTCTCTCTACCTCTCCCTTCCTCTATCTCTAAAATTGGTAAAAAACATGTTTAAGGAAAAGTCTGGCCCTAACTAGTTTGGCTCGGTAGAGAAGAGTGTCAGCCTGTGGACTAAAGGGTCCCGGGTTTGATTCTGGTCAAGGGCACATGCGTGGGTTGTGGGCTCCATCCTCAGTGAGGGGTGTGCAGGAGGCAGCCGATCGATGATTCTCTTCATTGATGTTTCTATCTCTCTCAATAAAAATATATATTTTAAAAAAAGTCTGAGACTAATAAAATGCAGACTGTTAAGGAAGATAGAAAAGAAAGGCAAAAGGTGGCTAGGCATTAAGTAGTTTTACATTCCAAAAGAATATTGACTAGCATCTTCAGAAGTAACTCTCAAAATTACAGTCATGATTATAGAAGTTACTCTGTATGTTTCATTCCAATATACATGTTCTATATATACAGTATAGAAAAGCTAGTAAGTTGGCTCAGCTATAATAATCATGTCATAAAAAAATCAGATTACATTCTTTTAGCTGCAACAAAGCATGTTCTAATTTTCAGTTCTGCTAACATATACACAAGATAAAAGTTAAGCTTTAAAAGTATTCAAAAGAAAAAAAAATAAGTTATATCTAAACTATTAATTTACACAACAAATATGCTTTTACTTATTTCACTAACCAGCTATCCTCTCATCCATTTCTTAAGTGTTTCTTTATTCTAACAGTTTGTTTTCAAGACGTGTGTCTGTTCCCCTTTAAGTGCTGCACATTTTCTTGTAGGAAGCGCAGATGTGTAAGACTGTTAGTGGCATGTGGAGAAGTTCTGGGTTTTACTTTTTCCAGCTAACGGACGACAAATAGAAGAAAGAGATGACAAAAGCAAGCAAGAGCACTGTTAAGGAAAGCAGCAGCTGCTGGAACCAGATACAACGCTGAACTTGGTCTTCAAGCTTTCTATTGCTTTCTAGTAAACGATTGAGCTAAACAGGGAAAAAAAAAGGATGAAAGATCTGTATTAATAAAACTGTACATCAATCACGTGAATGACAAACAGGAATATGAGAAATCCACACATTTACGGGATGGGTCCATTTATTCTGAAAGGCTGCGAGCTGGAAATGCAATGAGGAATTAGATTCATTTGGTGAACAGACGTGCACTGGCTTACTCCTGCTTTGAAAAGGTCTAATTTCTAGCTGAGAAAGGAGCAAAGTAATCACTCCCTGGCAGTAGCGGAAGCAGCTGCTCAGAAAGGGTACTCTATCCTCTTTTTTAAATTTACCAGTAATGCACTACATGGTAGCTCTTCTGTGAGAATTCTTTGATTACATCCCAAAGCACCATGTGCTTTTCCATACGTTCCTAGTTCAAATTAAAATGGCCAGAGCTTTGCCCTGGCTTGTATGGCTCAACTGGTTGGATTTCATCCCATGCACTAATGCCGTGGTCGGCAAACTGCGGCTCACAAGCCACATGCAGCTCTTTGGCCCTTGAGTGTGGCTCTTCCACAAAATACCACGGCCTGGGCGAGTCTATGTTGAAGAAGTGGCGTGAGAAGAAGCTTAAGTTGAAAAAATGTGGCTCTCCGAAGAAATTTCAATGTTGTAGTATTGATATTTGGCTCTGTTGACTAATGAGTTTGCTGACCACTGCACTAATGGGTTGCTGCTTAGATTCCTGTTCAGGGCACACGCCTGGGTTGAGGGCTGGATCTCCAGTAGAGGGCATACAGGAGGTAGCCGATTGATGTTTCTCTGTCATCAATGTTTCTCTCTTTCCCTCTCTAAAAATCAATAATAATAAAAAAAAAATCTTTGAAAAAAAAATGGCCATAGCTTTAAAAAAGTTAGATCTCCAAAAGTAACTCGCAGCTTACCATTTGTGATTTCGTTTCCCTTTACAAAGAAGCATTTCTGTTGTGTCTATGCCAAAGGTTTTCCTTAAGTCAGTGGGAAAAAATAGGTTTCTGATGTTGGTTAGCATTATCAACACTGTTTTAGTTAGGCAGAATGATCACTTACCTGTAGACACATATCTTCACTGGTTTTATCTGACACGTTAAAAGCACCGTCTTTTAATGTTAGACTGGTTGGTTTACTGCTCTCAACAGTATGGCACCTCAACCTGTGAAAATCCAAAGGAAACATAACTTCTTAACATTTTTAATTTTTAAAAATAAAAGTAAAATATAAAATTTTTAAAAAGCCACAGAGTATATGTAACACAGGTAAAAGTACTCACTTCTCTACCCAGATTTACCTAAGGTAGCAGTGTATTTATCTTTGAAGGGGACAGAATTGGGGACAAATATTATCTTGGGCTCAGTAAAAAAGAAATACCACAAAAACAGCAGACACGGGACAAACTCTGAAAACAAATTAGTTGCCCCTTTGTAAGAAAGAGTTAATTTACAAGGGGAATCTCTATTTGTACCAGGAAGACTAAATCTATAGACTCTCATCAATGGAGAAGGCACTGACCTAAATCTACATAACAAGTCTTAGCCTTGTTTCCTGTGCTTTTCCTGATAACCTTCCATAAGTGCATCCTTTACCCCAACATCATCTTAACTGTAGATGGTGTTTAAGGTGGTGGCCTGGGCCACTTGGGGGAGTTTTATTATTTTCTGGATCTCTCCCATGCACACAGAAGAATCTATAATAATAGAAGTGTAATATGCTAATTAGATCATATGTCCTAACAGACAACCTTCCTGAGGAAGCCATGGTGGCAGGGACTGGTATCTGTGGAAAGACCACATTGAAAGGACAGGAAAGCAGAGTGGGTGGGGGCCAAGGCAGAGGCAGTGGCTACAGCGGTGGGACAGAGCCTCTTGCATGGATTTTGTGCACAGGGCCTCTAGTATACATATATTAAACTTCTGTTTTTCTGTTGCCTGTCTTCCATTGTGGGGACAGGGGCTCTCAGCCAGGAAGCTAGAAAGGTAAAGCAAAATTATTTTTCCTTCCCTGCAGTATGGTGACCCTCTATGGGACCTGCTGAGACACCATACTCATTTGGGAGCCTGCAGGTTGGATCCTGGAAAACTTGCAGAAGCTGGTAAAGGTAAGAATTCTTTAAAAAGTCACTTCTTCTGGATCTCATCTAGTGCCAGACTGAGAGGGGAAAGTCCTTGTCCCCTCCTTTCCAAATTTAGATTCGAAGGAGAAATATTTGTGTGAATTAGTTCCTTCGGTATTGGTATAGTGGTTTTGGTAGAGATTTTTGTTGCATGCTCTTATTTTCTTTTTTGTTGTTGTTTATCCTCACCTGAATATGTTTTTTCTATGGTTTTCAGAGTGAGTGAAAGGGAAGGGGGAGAGGGAGAAGGAATGGGAAGAGACGAAGAGGGAGAGAGAGATCCATTGGTTGCCTCCCACATGCACCCCAACTGGGGGCGGGGAGCGAATTCACAACCCAGGTGCCCTTGACCAGGAATTGAACCCTGACCCTTGGTGCATGGGCCCACACTCTAACCACTGACCCATACTGTCCAGGGCAGTACTCCTATTTTCTATTGATCATTCTCCCTCCCAGATACAGTCACTGTTTTCTTCTGTGTCATTTGTCATAAGGAGAAGAACCATATGCCCAATGAAGTTTTCCTTTTGTCTTGCTCTATGTCTTGAGAGCTTGGCTTTGTGACCAGTTAAGGATATTCTCTCTGGAGAGATGCATGCATCTGGTGACCAGCTGAATGGGCTTGGGGATCAGAGACACAAAGTAATAAGGGGCATTCTCTGTGGGACTGTGCCAGCTCCCATGGGAGTTGATCATTCGGGACCCTGGCCTGTAAGGAACACTTGTCTCAACCTTCATTGTCTCGTCAGTGCTAGAAAAGTCCCATTCCAGTAGCATCCGCCTGGAGCCAGAGATTAGCGGGTCTGTGATTGGGGGCATCTGACATTTCTTGTGGGAAACCAGACATGCTTGCACCATACCATTGTACTGCCTGAGACAATGAAGATTTTTGCTTTCTTAATATAGCTAACTCTGCGAGTGAACTTTCTGATCTTGTGAGGACTGCATTTTTTGAACCCTCTCTTGCAACCATGGTTAAACCATAAAAAAGGCTTATGGGTTTGAGTCTATATTGCGATTAATATAAGATCCTACTGATCAGTGGCCACGTGACAGATCCTTTGAAATGTAACACCTTCCATGTTTGAAAAAAGTTTAGACTGCTCTCATCCTAAACAATGTCTTACTGGTATCTGTGGAAAGACCACATTGAAAGGACAGGAAAGAGTAAGGCAAAGCCCAGCCTTCAGGATTTCCTTATTAAGATGGAATTATAAGAATCTCTTTCCCTCCACTTTCAGAAGACAGCTATCAAATTTAGAGACGAATTAAAAAAGATCAGGGGCCATTCAGTCCCTAATCACAGGGACCTTGACTGACTGCTAAGTCACATTCTTCCCACCCATGATTATCCTGAAGTCATCAGACAATATGTTGACACATCCAGAGTCTTGTGACTGGCCAGAAAGCAAGTGTCTGCTACTAGCAGCCATCTTGAGAAACTCAGGGTCTCCTTCACCTGGCACCCGCACGGCCCCACAGAACTCGGGACCCACACTAGATGCCTCGATGTCTGCCAAACACTAGAAGGGGCATTCTTTGGCTGATCTTTCCCACCACATTTCAAGGCCTGTGAGTAAAAAGCATACCTGTGCTCCATCACTTTGCTCCTGGGAACTTCTTTCCAGAACTGAGCCAGTTCTGCTGGGCCTGTGCCAGATGTCTGTTCCATTTCTGCAGCCATGATCAGAAACCGGTCTTGGGCAGAGACTGCAACGCCTGTGTTCAAAAGGGCAAATGATTTGAATGGGAATCTTTACCAAAGTTTAGGTGTGTGGCTTAAGGCGTTATTCTAGAAAAAAGTAAGGAAGATAGGGATATGGAACTTCTGTAAAAAAAAAAAAAAAAAAGGAAAAGAAAAAGAAAAAAGTTCTAAAAAAACAAGTTCTTTGTTGAAATTAATTTCAACTGGTATCGGCTGAAACGATTTTACTTGTTAAAAAGCAAGTGACAATTAGTGAACGCTGGGAAGGACCTGGGAGACCCATCTGCCCATTTCGTTTTGCATGTGGGAAAGCAGGTGCCTACAGTGCACTGGCTAGCATGTGACAACTCACCCCCATGAGGACACACAACTATATCAATTGATGCTCCAGGGTCACAGCTGCTGTTGCTAGGCTTGACTCTGTATTTTTCCGGTGCGGTTGTTCTCACCTGTTCATAAACACAGTAGTCACATACTAACCTCTATGCTTTTGGGGGAAATGGCTTATAAGGGACTTTCAACAAAATTAGCAGCTAATCAATGACCCAAATTTACAAAATAAGCTTTGATGATTATGCAGAGAATATACCTTTGCTCACCATTAGGAAAAAAGCATCTCAAGCTATTTAAAAAATATTTACTCATTTTTAAGTCCAATTGTCACTTAGCCTTCCCCTTAAATAAAACAAGTACTCTATCTGTTAAACACTTATCATGTGCTAATTACCTGAATTAACACAAATTCAAAAACCTGAATCCACATGTTACAATAGTGTTCAAAAATTTAAAAAAACAGCTGATAATCAAAGGACATCCAGACATCCTAGTGGTTAAATTTAAATTAAATAGAGGACTTAAAGAAGTAATACCTACAATATGGGATGGTGGTAGACTCAGTCTTTATGACACTTAATGCTCAATATCAGGTTAGCATCCAGTACAAACTAATACTCCTAAATATACTATACTTGGGAGATTTTATGTTAAATATTATTAAGAACTAATCATTTAATTAGTTCTTAATAATATTTCCTTGGGTTTTTTATTTACAACAAATGTTAAACCCGGGAATTAATTTGGGTATAAAAGATTGAGATATAGATCCCAGGAAAAATTTTGGATAAGGCATTATAACATGCTTAAAAAGATCATAAATAAAATCATTGCATAATTTCAAATTATCAATCTTTCAGTTAATATTATCTAAAACCACTTTGCATGTAAAATTTTCACACATAATTTATCTTATATTTCAAAAATTTACCTTAAACGCCACTATGTTTTTAGTTACATTTGTCAACACGATTAAAGATTTCTTCTCTCCAGAGTCTATACTTCCAAAATACAGTTCTTCCGCTGGGCTAAGTAATGACAAAAACATAAGACATCTGTATTACTCAAAATAAATGACAATCTAATCCAACTTGAAGAGAAACATTTGGTTAATATTTTATGCTCATTTACATAAATAAACTTTATTAAAAAAGACAAGATTACAAAATAATTACCTAATATATTCTGTATGTTAATCTTATTAATCCAATGCATGCTATTTAAAAAGTCCTATGGTTTCCTCAAGATCAAAAGCAAAATAGGAAGAAACATGGAGAGAATTAGAAAGATTCTGAATTAGTCCTATAATCAGCTCCAACGTAAGGTACACTTACTTGAACTCTTTGGAAGGTTATAGACAATAATCAAAGCAAAGATGGAATTGTTGCCTCAACTTCATCTAATTACAACAGATTAGAGTGGAGCATATTTTTATACACCAATAGAGAAGAGTGTAACTTCAAAAGAAAGATCACTAGAAATGTATTCAAGTAACAGAATAATTTCTTACTAATAAAGGCCTTTTCTGTGTCATAGGGAAGAAGAAAAATAAACACAAATAACATCTAGGGTGAGAAGTGCAGGAACTTGTAAAACTGTAAAACCAGAGAGCTTCAAAATGCTAATTTCACTGTTCTTGGCTACTGTGATGCCCGTGACCTAAAAGGAAAGCACAAACCCTTCAGCAAAGTTGTCCAAACTGGATCAGGTGCCTCCAAACAATGGGAGGATAGTATTTTTGTTTTTGTTTTATTTTATTTTTTAAAATATATTTTTTAAAATTTTTACAGAGAAGAAGAAGAGAGGGATAGAGAGTTAGAAACCTCAATGAGAGAGAAACATCGATCAGGGGCCTCCTGCACACCCCTACTGGGGATGTGCCTGCAACCAAGGTGCATGCCCTTGACTGGAATCAAACCTGGGACCTTTCAGTCCACAGGCCGATGCTCTATCCACTGAGCCAAACCGGTTTCGGCTGTTTTTGTTTTAGATAAAAAGGTGAATTCCTCAGAAAGCTCTTGAGGTAGAGATGCACCTTTAAATAGATTCATGTTATGACAGGAATGTCTGCACACCGGAGATGTTTATTCACTTAGAGAGCACACATTCTTAAGGAAGTGCTTGCCAAGCTTTGGATGAGACGGTAAATGAGCAGGCTGCTGGTTTCCTTTTCGGACTCCACCTGCAGTATGCCACAGAAACGTCAGGAAGGTTTTGGAAATCAGAACTGCTCCCAGAAACCAGCACAGAAACTGAGAGAAGCTCCGGGGAGGCAGACAAAAGATGGGTCCCTGGGTGCGTGTGCAGCCTTGTGACTTTCCTGGGAATGGCAGAGACCCAAGTTCCACTTTGGCTTTCTCCCTTATGAGCTCTTCCGGCCATACCTTGATATTTATGAGCCTCGATATTACAAATATCAATGTAAATATTTATAACCTATGGTTTTGACAAGCCTCTACTGAAAAAAAACAAAATAACTTCCAAACCAGTAGAGGGAAAAATGGCAAAGAAAAAAACATGGTAAATCGAACATTAATGTGTGTTTGTTTCTCTTTCTTCCTCTCTCACATACATACATGACAAATCCAAATATAACAGTAATCATAATCTGTGTAAACAAACCAATCTTGTCATTTTGAGAATCTCAGGTTCAATTTGTTAAAACTCTGACTGCATTGTTCATAACAGACATACACACCTAAAACATTACATAGAAAAGTTTCAAGTAAAGGCATAACAAATGATATATTAAGTCATCACTAAAGAAAGATGGTATAGCAACATTAATATAAGGCTAAATAGATTTACCAACCAAAAACCATCATTAGAGAGAAAGAGGTCTTTACATAATGATAAAGAAACAATCCTGAATCTTTTGGATTATACAACCTAGAAACAAGAGATGGGCTGAAATTTGGCTTTAATAAAATTCTTTTTCTGGTTCAGTTTTAGCTTTTGGAAGGTCAAGTCGATAAATATCTACATTTCAATGTTGTTTCTGGAATCTGTGAATTTGTGTAAAGTCTAATAGAATTAGTAAAATGAGAAAAATACGTCATTCAGATTTACTGTCAATATAAGAATATCCTATCTAATAAAAGAGTAACATGCAAATTAACCATCACTCTGTGACAAAGATGGCACCACAGTAGCCGGGGGAAGGAGGGATGCTGGTGGCATAGCAATCGTGCCCTGGCCACGTAGCGGGAGGGCCTCTGGCCAGAGGCCAGGGCATGGGACATGGGCGCCATTGCAGGGCGGGCTGAGGGAACCCCCATCCCCTGTGCATGAATTTCGTGCTCTGGGCCTCTAGTTCACTCTTATTACCTGATATATGAGGGCCTTTTAAACACACTGAATGGAAAATAATAAAAAAGCAGCTAAAACTATCCATTATGTCTGGAAACCAAGGTCTGCAGATAACCCTTAATTTTGTATTTTGCCAGTTTCTAAAACAGTATAGAAGTTTTCTTACTTTTCAGTTCCCTCAAGATGATCAAAATATGTTATGAAAACATAGCTAGTAAAATCTTCCATTATTACCTGATGTGTAATAAGGGCCCTTTAAATACACTCAATGGCTTTTTGAAAGCTTTAGTCTTGGAATCAACTTTTTCATTTTCTTCTGCTTTGGAAGTAGATTCAGTTAGGTTAATCTAAAGATTAAAAAAATATGAAGAAAAGATCAAGAAATTTAGTTTCATACTTGACGGCTGGGCAGGTCATTAGATCAAAAAATAAACATTGGATTGATTCAATGCAAATTATAATCTTTAATGTAGCTTTATTATGCCTAAATTATATAATTAATATATATTAATGTTACATTAACATACAATTTGAGTGCCTATTATAAATGATTATAGAAAATATAACATGGTCCTTCCCTTAAAAGTCTTTGGATTTGTTTTAAATTATAATGTATTTATCAAGCCTCTGATTATAAGAAGACAACTAAGTGCTTTTTAAAGTATGAAACAAAGAGAGGAAGTAGATCAAGAAGGAAAGTTATAATTTTATTTCACATAAATAAAAATATTTTAGATAACACCGTCAAATGCATTTTGTCAATTTTTATACAAAAGTATGGAATCACCCCCATCCCATCCTTCTTTCTTTGTACAAAGAAAGATGCTGGAGGACAGAAAGTTGTGAATTACTCAAAATCACATAGCAAGCTATTAGTAGAATTAGGGCTAGGCCAGAGCTTTTGACTTAATTTCATCTTCTTATTAAAATTACCTTTTTCAGACCAGCTACTTGTTCTTCATTAAAAACTGCTTCTAAGATTTCTTTGCCATCACTTTCTGTATCTTCCTTGCTCGAAGCTTCATCCTCACTGGCGATAGGCCCGTTTTCACACAGCGGTGTCTGGAAGTCATCATCTATTAGAGGGGGGTAGCTGTATTTGAAAGGATCCTAGAAGAAAAGGAATTTTGATCAGCTAGCTAAAGAGTGGGTAGAGAAACACTTCTCTTAGTAAAGTTGAAATCCATTCATTTGGCCAAGGAAATAGACTGAATCAGACAGTGAAATTGAAAACAAACCAGAAAAGGAAAAAGGAATCAGTGGTGTGAGACAATTGGCCAGCCATCTGTAAAACAGGCAAACTGGATCTTTAGCTCACACTTTACACCAAAAAGAATTTCAGATGGATGAAAGCTTTAAGTGTATCTGCAAGTCTGTGTGTGTATTTATTTTTTAAAACCATATAAGCTCCAGAGCAACACACAAGAGGATTAAAAAACACACACACACACAAAAACCTAAGCAGGGATAGCCTTTCTAAGCATAGCATAAAAAATAGAAGGCATGCACATATTGATAAAAATTGAGCACAGTAAAATAAAACTTTAAAAAAAGGGCCACAAACTGGAGAAATGTGCACCACACATAGAATAAAAAAACAGCTTTTGTTAATATATACAACAAAAGAATAACCGATCAGAACAAGGAATAAAGGAACGATACAGTTCACAGAAAAATAATGAAGGCTGCCTTCTACGTCATTAAAACATGCTCAGCATCACTGGTAATAAAAGAAATGAAAATTAAAACTACAATGAAATATTTTTCACCCCAAACTGGCAAAAACGATAATGTGTGGTGTTGGCAGGAATGTTGTTCAAATGTTCTCACACATTATTGGTAAATGACCACAATCTCTTTAGAGGAAATTGGCAATGGCTATAAAAATTAAACACTAAATGTACCATTGACCTAATTTTACTTCCAGGAGTTTATCCTGTATATATACTGCCGCACCCGCTCATCAAGAATTATTTACAAGGATAGTCACTGCAGCACTATTAGAAATGGCAAAAAATTAGAAAATAAGTAATGTACCTTCAAAAGAGACCTGATTAAATAAGTTATGTTATATCCACAGTGGAATGTCCTACAATGGCTAGAGTCAGGTAGACCTCTATGAATCAATTATGGTATAACGTAAAAGTAAGTGATGTAAAAAAACCCCCACCCACAATAGAATATATATGATATGTGACCATTATGAAAAATAGTATAATGGAAACAATATCTCCAGAAGGAGAGAAAATCTGGATATAGTGACTGCTCCTGGGACAGTGACCTCTGGAGGGAGACATAATTTTCACTGTACTGTTTGCAACCTGAAGAAATATACCACTAACTCAGAGAATGGGAAATAAAATAACCTTTTATATCTCTAAAAAGAAAATTACATTTTACTAAATGCTATTTTAAGATAATTCTATGGGCAAATGTTAAAAAAAAAAGTCAAATCAATAAAATCACCATTTTAACTAAGGGTAGTACTTGAAATGAACCATAGTCTGTTTTTTCTAGGTTAAAATGTGAAATATGAAGTCTCAGAATAGGAAAGCATAAAACTTCAAATAAGAAAATATTAGTTCAATTTTTTTAATCAAAGAAAACAAACAAGAACATACCAAAACTTTTCATCTTGCTATCCCCTTGGTTCTGGTTGAATACAATTTTGCCAGGAAGGCAGTGTACAAAGAAGATTATAAAAATCAAGTAGAAATATTGTCAATCAAGTTAACCCAAGGCATACCATTTCTATAGGTTTTACAGTTTATAAATAGTCATTATCACAATGTTTCATTGTTATGTGGTATTAAGAATTTAACACATACCTACTTACTCCTGATCTCATTTGTAAGTATTAAAATCATTTGCAAAAAACTTGATAGTATACATTGTCTTTTATTTTATTTATTTTTAAATATATTTTTATTGATTTCAGAGAGGAAGAGAGAGGGAGAGAGAGAGAGAGAAATATCAATGATGAGAGAGAATGATTGTTGGCTGCCTCCTGCACACACCCTCACTGGGGACCAAGCCTGTAACCCAGGCATGTGCCCTGACTGGGAATGCAACTGTTGACCTCCTGGTTCATAGGTTGATACTCAACCACTGAGCTACGCTGGCTGGACTACATTATCTTAAATGAAAAAGATTATTTAATAGTAAACAATTGGAAACTAATACCTAATGGTTATTAATTAAATAACTTATGGTTCATCTCTAGACACTGGAATATTTTGCAGTCAGAAATAAGAGTAAGAGCTTGCCACATATTGATTTGAAATTATTTCTGAGACAGGTAAAGAAAAAAGCAGGATGCATAATAGTGTGTAATATACTACTTGTTTAAAAGAGAGGGAAGAAGGAAGAATTACATATACTATCTAATAAAATAGTAATATGCAAATTGACCATCACTCCAACACACAAGATGGCTGCCCCCATGTGGTCAAAGATCCTGCCCCTATGTGGACACAAGATGGCCACCATAAGATGGCCAGCAGGGGAGGACAGTTGGGAGGCACCAGGCTTGCAAGGGAGGGCAGTTAGGGGTGACCAGGCCAGCAGAGGAAGGAAGTTGGGGACAACTGGGCCTGCAGGGAAAGGCAAATAGGGGCAAACAGGCTGGCAGGGGAGTAGTTAGGGGGTGATCAGGCTGGCAGGAAGAAACGGTTAGGGGCAATCAAGAAGGCAGGCAGGCAAGCAGCTGGGAGCTAGCAGTCCTGGATTGTGAGAGGGAAGTTCTACTGCCCGTTTAGGCCCGATCCTTTCATAATTGGGCCTAAACAGGCAGTCAGACATCCCTTGAGGGGTCCCAGATTGGAACGGGTGTAGGCTGGGCTGAGGGACACCCACCCCACATGCATGAATTTCATGCACCGGGCCTCTAGTATACTACATTTGCTTTACATATATTCTACAGTTGTTTATATAGGCAATACAGATCCCTGGAAAAAATAAGAAATAATGGAACTGGGGAGGGGCACAGGATGACTAAAATACTAGTAGAAAGACTTTTACTGAACACTTGTTTCTAAATACTGACTACATTTTTACTGAATACTTTTCAGTTCAAACCCATTCAAAAATAGCAATGTAACAACTTGAAAACTTAAAAAAAATGTAAAACTGCTTATTATTTTGGTGAATCTATGAGCTTTCTTTGGATATTATGACACTGCTTTTCCTTTTTCCTTAAGAAAAGAATACAGCCATGGCCCAGTCTTATTTTAGGAACAAGTTTCAAGTACTATACTTACAGTTCCACCCATGTGGGGAGGCAGGTATTCGACACTGACATAGTCTTGGACTTCATGTTTATTTGTAAACTTCAACAAACTCACTGCTTCTGGACCGAGCCAGGATTTCACAATTTTGAAAGCAGCTGAAGAAAAAAAGTTACTTTATTAAATTCTTTTCATTCACTTTCTCAATTAATTTACTGTAGGTGCTAACTGTGGTCTTCTGAAAATAGGTTAGGCTAAAGTTTGTTAATATGTATATTCCGATGACACAATACTTATTGAACATTGTTTAGTTCCTATAGGCATTTACACAATGACTTTCCCTTACAGATTTCAATGGTCCATAAAGATTCAAGACGATTCAATTACTCTAATGTTCTCAAATATACTCATCAGAGTCTTGGCCTCTGCACAAATCCATCAATAATCCCAACTACTAAGATTTCCAGACACTACATCAAACAACATTGGTTCAGGGAATAACTGCACAATATTATGGGAAGAGTCACTTGCCTTATGTTTCTGATAAAACTCTCAGTCTGAACAACTTTCTGAAATGGGAACTCAGGAAGGAAAGTAGGCCACCTCATACTGGGTGTGAGCTGGACCCAGATTTCCATCCTAATCCTAACCTTCTATGCCTTTCTCTAAAGTCCTACAATCTATGTAATTGTGAGGAATTGAGAGAATCTGCAAGAATTAACTGTTATCAAACCCAGCTGTTTACAATGGAACAACTGGTCGACCAATCGCTATGGTGTGCACTGACCACCAGGGGCAGACACTTAATGCAGGAGCTGCCCCTTGGTAGTCAGTGTGCTCCCACAGCCAACATCCCAGGGTCCTTTCCCTGGCCCACTGGCACTGATCCAGACTGGGCAAAACAGCTCCGAATGCTGGCCAAGCTGAAGGAACCCCACCTGTGCATGAATTCATGCACCAGGCCTCTAGCTGAGATATAATTTACCTATCATAAAATTTATCCTTTTAAAGTATACACATCAATGGTTTTTAGTATATTCACAGAGTTGCACAACCATCACCATTCTCTTAATTTTAGAACATTTTTATCACACCAAAAAGAAACTCTCACTTATCAATCTCTTGTCTTGTCTTTTCCCATTCCATGGTAAACACTAATCTACTTTCTGTCTATATAGATTTGCCTATTTTGGACATTTCATATAAATAGAATCATACAATGTTTTTTTCCCTACTAGTTTTGTTCACTTAACGTGTTTTTAAGATTCATCCATGACATAGCATTTAAAAGGTATTTAATTCCTTTTTATGACTGAATAATTGTCCATTTTATGAATATATGATACTTGTTTATCCATTCATCAGTTATGAATATTTGGGTTGTTTTCACTTTTCACTATTATGTGTAAAGCTGCTATGAACATTTGTGTACAAGTTCATGTGTGAGTATATGGTTTCACTTCTCTTTGAAGATGTATAGCTAGGAGTGGAATTACTGGGGCATATGGTAGTTTTATGTTTAAATTCTTTGAGGAACTGCCATTTTTTCATTCTCACCAGAGGGTTCCAATTGTTCCACATCCTTGTCAACACTTGCTACTGTCTTTTTCTTTGATTATTGTCATCCTGGTGGGTATGAAGTACTATCTTACTTGATTTTGACTTGAATTAAGGACTAATGTTGAGCATCTTGTCATTTGTTCATTGCCGTTTACATATCTTCTTTGGAAAAATGTGTATTCAAATCCACCTTTTTTAATTGAGCCATTTGCTTTTTATTGCTGCATTATAAAAGTTACTTCTATACTCTTGATATAAGTCCCTTATCAGATGTATAATTTATAAATATCTTTTATTCTATTCTGCCAGCTGTCTTTTCACCTTCTTGGTGGTATACTTTGGAGTGCAAACTATTTAAATATTAATAAAGTCCAAAGTATTTTTTCCTTTTGTCCCATATGGGTTTTTGTTTTTTTTTTTTGGTGTCATAACTAAAAAAACAATGCCTAATCCAAGATCACAAAGATTTACTCATTATTATAAGAGTGTTATAATTTTAACTCTTACATTTGAGTTAGCTTTTGTACATGATGAGAGGTAGAGATCCACCTACATTCTTTTGAATGCAGATGTTCAGTTGTCCCAGTATTTTTTATTAAAAAGACTATTCATTCTCTACTGAATTGTCTTGGCACCATTGTCAACTATTAGCCATTAATGTTAGAGTTTCCTTTTGCACTCTCAATTCTATGTATCTATCTAGCCTTATGTCTGTATTACATCTTAATTGCTACAGCTTTGTAGTGAGTTTGGAATAAAAACATGGGGCCCTGACAGTGTGGCTCAGTATTTCAGCATCGATCCATGAACCAAGAGGTCACTAGTTCGATTACTATCAGGGCACATAGCCAGGTTTTGGGTTTAATCCCCTGTTAAGGCACATATAGGAAACAACCAATTGATGTTTCTCTCTCCCTTCCTCTCTCTAAAATCAAGAAATACTATTTTTTTTTAAAAAAAATAGTGAGTTCTCCCAATTTCATTGTTCTTTTTCAAGATTATTTTTACTACTGCGAGTCTCCTGCATTTTCATATCAATTTAAGTCAATTGATTGCCAATTACTGTAAAAAAAAAAAGCAGTTGAGATTTTGACAAGGGCTGCATTAAATTTTTCGATCCATTCAGGAAGTATTCATCATATTAACAATATTAAGACTTCCAGTCCTTGAATAAGGGATGTTTACCTAGGTCTTTAATATCGTTCAGTGGTGTTATGTAGTTTTCCATGTACAAGTATCAAACTTACTTTATGAATTTTATTTTTATGTATTTTATTCTTTGTAATGATATTAAAAATGAAATCTTCTTAACTTCATTTTTGGATAGTCATTGCGAGTATATAGAAATACAATTGATCTTGTGTATTAAGTTTGCATCCTGCCACCTTGCTGAACTCACTTATTAGTTCTAATAAATTTCTATGTGTTTGCATTCCTGAAAATTTTGTATATAGAAGATTATGTCACCGGCAACTATTGTTGATATTACTTCATGTTAGCTGTGGGTTTTCACGGATGCAGGTTTGACCTAGATGCCCTTTATTGGGCTCTGCAGGTTCTGTTCTGGGTTGTGAAGATTTAACCTTATGCAAAGGAAGGTCTGGCCTTGCCTTTAGCTGCTGGAAAACAATCTTCACGCTTGATAGGGCTCCCTTTGTTTGTCTTGGGGCTTTGGGTCACACAGGAACGATATGACTTAGAGTAGGGGCTTTGCACCACACGGTATCAGTAAACCCTGGGAAGACTGGGGTAAACACTGCGGTAAACCACTCTGGCCTATGGAATGAAACCCCAATAAAAACTCTGAGCGCTGAAGTTTGGGTGACCTTTTCTGATTGGCATTACTCCATGGGAACTGCCGCATATTGATGCTGGAAGACTAACTTTGCTCCATATTTGCTATTTTAGTGGATTTGGTTCTATGTTTTTCTTCCGTTGCTTATTTTAATCTGAATCCTTTCCCTGTAATAAAATGTAGCTGCGAGTATATCTGCTTTCAGCGAGTTCTGTAAGTCATTCTAGTAAACCTGAGTGAGACTGGTTTGGGGAACCCCTTGACCTTATAGTTTGTGTCAGAAGTGAGGGTAGTCTGTGTGGACTACTGTGGTCCCCCTAACTTCACAGTTAATTCTATTCCTAGTTTCTAGAGTGTGTTTATCAGGAGACTACTGAATTTTTTCAAATGCTTTTTCTGTGTCTATTGAGAGGATCATTTTTTTTTTCTTTTAGCCTATTAATATGGTGGATAACACGGTTTGATTTTCTTTTATTGAACTGATTTTGCATTCCTGAGAAATCCCACTTGGTCATGGTGCATAATCCTTTTTATATGTTGCTAGATTCAGTTTATTGAATCTACCCTGTTTCCCCGAAAATAAGACAGTGTCTTATATTAATTTTTTCTCCCAAAATTGTGCTAGGTCTTATTTTCAAGAGATGTCTTATCTTTCCATGTGCTAGGTCTTACTTTTGAAGGATGTCTTATTTTCGGGGAAACAAGGTACTTTATTGAGGATTGGTCCATCTATATTCATACGAGATATTGGTCCATAGTTTTCCTGTGATGCTTGTGATTAGGCATATACTTGTTCATGAAATGATGGTAAATTGTTCCCTCTTCTATTTTTTTTGGAAGAGTTTACAAAGGATTGGTGTTGCTTTTTTATGTTTGGTAAAATTTACCAGTGAAGCCATTTGGACCTGGGCTCTTCTTTGTGAGAAGTTTTTTGATAACTAGTGTTTTCCAATAATTTAAAAAGTATATATTATGCCTGTCATCCTAGGGGTATGTGACTACAGAGATTTGGAATACATTTCACATTCATCCCACCTTCCTCCGCAACAACTGAAGCCCATGAGAAAACCTAGCTAAGGCCTGTGTTTCATGAAATACCCCACCTGTGGGAGGTAAACTGAGGCTTCAGACTATAGTTTTTCTTGAATGGTTGACCATCCTGAGGCTGGTTTTAGAGAAGACTAGTGGGTTACCCTATGGGGTAGAAAAATTAAGACTCCTTTGCTTTGAAACAGCCTTTCAATGGTTTAGATCTAGCTACTTAAGAGTATACACCAAGCACAATATAAACAATTTTTAAACAACCATAGCCATGTGGCGAAGTTGGCAAAGAAAAAAGGAAATCAGACATTCTGTTTTAGAAAGTATAGGTAATGTACTCACCGTTCATTATCCAAGGCATATCAAAGATCACTATTTTTGCTGAAAGATGAAAAAAATTCATTGAATGTGACTTAGTAGCACTATAGTAATATCACATATATCTAACCTAGGAAAAATGATTATCTGAATGTAACAAAAAACAGAGCTGACTGATTCATTTCTAAGTCAGTGACTGCTGAGTGGTGCTAGAACTAAACTAACTTCTCAAAATGGTGAGGAGCCCAGCCAAGGAGAATAGCTTACAGGAAACAAATATTGCATTATCACTGTCCTTTGGCAAGTAGCTTGGCCTTTTATTTATATTGTTTTTGTTGTTTGCATAAAGGTACAAAAGGAAATTGTTAAGTGGGTAAATGGAGTCTGGATGTGGCATGTCATGTTACTGTTGAAGTCCATTGAACTTTAAAACTGTTTCAACATCAGATTCAAATTGTCATTGAGAAAACACTATAGTCATTTTCTCAATGACAATTTGAGAATAGCAAATCATAACCCAATGTACTTTATGAATGAGTATTGCTTATCACAGAGTCCACTTTATCAATATTAATCTGTTTCTTGTATGTAGGACATTCCATATAATAAATGCTTTCTTGTATTTGAAATTTATTTTTAGAGAGAAGAGGGAAGAGAGAGGGAGAGAGAGAGAAATATCAATTTGTTGTTCCACTTATGCATTCATTGGTTGATTCTTATATGTGCCCTGATCTGGGACTGAATTCATAACCTTGGCATATTGGGACAATGCTCTAATCAACTGAGCTACCCAGCCAAGGTCAACATAATGAATATTTTAAAGGAATTTCTGATTGAAAGATTAGTAAAAATGGGTTAATCTTTGAAATAAGTGTATGTTTTTATGTACGTGTGTGTATGTGTGTGTGTGTGTGTGTTATAGGATACCATATGTACAGTTTAGAACTTAAACTCTTAAAACTAACTCTAAAGGACATGATTATTTATGAAAATTTCCCCCTATGCCTATTACAATATGTGCTTAAATTTCTATGAACTCTTTTAAGCACTCATCAGAAAACAATGTTTCAGCTATTAAAGTCTATAATAATATAAAGCCCTACAATTTTCAGACATTGTTTAGTTTTACATTTCATTCCATATAATAAAAGCCTAATAGGCTAAGTATATGACTGTTTGACCAGTCGCTATGATGTGCACTGACCACCAGGGGGCAGGTGCTCTGATTGGAAGGTTAGCTTGCTGCTGGGTTCTGGCAACAGGGGCTGGGCCAGACGGGCCAGTCATGCCCTGCAGCCCTCCCACGGTCCCTCCCCAGTTTTGATTGGGCACCGGAAGAGTCCCTCAGACTGCCCTGTACCCTCTCACAATCCAGAACCCCTTGGGGGATGTCAGAGAGCCGGTTTTGGCCTGATCCCTGAAGGCCAGGCCGAGGGAACCCCCTGGTACATGGGTTTCTAGTATGTTTATAAAGGAATAAGTTACTTACAGAGGTATTTAGGGTAATAAACCTTAAAGCAGTTGATGATAAAGCGTACAAAATCCATGTCCTAAAAAAGATTATACATTTAAATCTTTAAGACTGTCCACATTAGAAAATTTTAAACTGCATTATTTCTAAAAGTAATAAATTATTAAATACAAATGAGACAATTATTAAATTCTTTAAAAATAGGCTCATGTATAAATACATAGATTCCCAAGGATTAAGGCCTTAAGTCATTAAGCTAATTATAATAATCAGTACTAAAACTGAGTTAAAGAAATCAGAAGCTTAAGCATCATTCATGTTACCTCAAACTAGTTAGATCGTAGGCTGCTAAGATAGCATGAAATTATAAAATGGAGCTAAAAGAAATCCTCATAGAGAAACTCTAAAAAATCTGCTGAATAATTAAAGAATTAATGAATCATGGATAAAGTTTATAACCTGACCATTTGGGATAATAAAACATATGTATATAAATTCTATAATATTTGATCTTAAAGCTAATTTCTAAACTTCATAATAGCTTGAATAAAACATACTTTATTAATCTTTTGTTCCACAATTAATCTTATATTGGCCTGCTGTATCTATCTTACTTCAAGATTCTTTCCTCTTATTTAGAGATCTAGAATGAGAATTAGAATTTCTCAGTTTACATTCAAGTATTGTTCTTTAATTTCCATTTCTGGAAGCCTTTATAAGCATAGTTATCTGGTTGGCTCCATTGCATTGAACACGGTAACATGAAATTAGGTTATTAGGGTTATTACTCATATGGATAATTTTATTACATGCTACTACATGGCCATATGCTGACTTACTAATCCTGACCAGCCTTCTTATAACAACTCTCGGATGAAAGCTACATATAACCAGGCAAACTTAAAGCCATCAATTCTGAAAGGTGGTTATCCTAGAGATGAGAGTCTATTAAGTCATTCTTAGTGGGTGAATTGTAGCATCTTTAACTCCAGTAAACTGTGTACAGTAAGCATTCTTAACTATCTTAAGCGTTTATTATGGGATAAATCCTACTACGTAATAACACCTTTATAACTAATCATTATACCTACTGTGCAGAGAGCTTAATAATTTTTAGTCAAGGGATAAATAAATATCTCAATAACTCCTTATATATCAATTTGGTTACCTACTATATGATCTGTGCCCCCCAGAGACTTTGCATAAAAGTCTTTATCTGATATTATTTTCATCTTTTCTATAATTGAATGGCCTTGCTTATAAAATTCCAAGTTACTATTAATTTACGTGGATTTGATAGGATGCCAGGGGTGCACATATATTAGTGGGTACTGCATAAAAAAGCTCTATGAAATGACTGGTCTACATTCTGTGAGAATGTTTTCAAGGATGCTATTCATTATCTTGTAAAATGCCCTCCCTTTGAGGAAGCACGAAAGGCTTTTCTCTCTAAGTGTCAGGAATGCATATACTTTCCCTAAGACACTGGTTTTAAAGTATAATCTCTGAATTTAAATGATTCCATTTTTTTCAGGTAGGCAGTGAAAGCTTAAAGCCAAATTACTGGCCAAACTTTAAATTTTTTGCATACATCTTTATAAGCCAACTTAAATCCTTCATGAATTATTAGGGTCATATATAAAAATAATTCAATACGATTCAAGTATTTTAAAACAATACTACTTAAATATCTAGTCATGCAAATAAAACTTATTTATAAATTAAAAATAATGAGAAAGCATATCTTTTGTAGCTTGAAAAAAAAAATCAGACAGTTCAAGTCAATTCTCTGCCCCTATATTTGGCAATAAAAACATTAACATTTATTTTTCATTATTCAGGGTCAATACTTAGAAATTATTGCACATAAAAGATAACAGAATCATGATTTATTTTTATGAAATACTTTTTACCTAGGCATTTTGATTTAGATTTTGAGCATAAGAGTTGTAATCTAAAACTCACTGACACAGAACCACACTGAAAAAAATCCAGGGCAATGAACTCTTTAAATATAAAGATAGAAAGATTGGGGGGGAGGGGTGAGTCCATGGTACCACCACCCAAAACTCATCTCTACTTCTGTCTAGTGTTTCTCTCTAGTATGTATTTTGTTTATCTGTTGTTGTTTTTTAATTTCTAAGACTTCTTGAGGGCTAGGTCTACTGTGATATTACCCTGTTGCCTTTTTCATTTCAAAGAGGTATTTTCCAATATTACTGCAAATTATTTATACATTTTATACATATTATACATACTCCATAAATTACTACACCTCAATTTACTATTTCACCATGTTGACGCATACATTTTTCTAATTTTTCATTATTTTAAATGACACTCTGAAAAAACACACACACACATTTGATGCATAATACTTTTTCTGTACTCAGGATTCTTTCTTTAGAATAAATTTCCAGAAGATAGTTACCAGGCAAAGAATATGAATGTGAACACTTTAAGATTCTTAACATACTTTGTCAAGTGGATTTTCAAAAAGGTTTTAACACTGCCCAAGGCAGGTGTGCAAATGACCCTTCACTGCTACCAGAATTAGCCGTGGTTTGAATTTAAGAGACATGGGTTCTAATAAATGTGCTAATGCATCCCCATCCCTGCGGAAGGGTTTGTAGTTACCATTAAGGTAAGGTGACCAGACATCCTGCTTTTGGCGGGGCAGTCCCAATTTTTAACAATGTGTTCCGCGGCGTTTTAAAAAAGTCCAGATTTCTTTTTAAAAATCGGGACTTTTTTAAAACGCCGTGGGACGCATGACAAACTTAAAAATCGGGACTGTGCCGCGTCTGGTCACCTTACTAAGGTCATAAAGGCCCCAAAATAAGGATGGGTAGCTTTTATTTTAGTTTTTATGCTTGGGAAAAATCACCTGAAGACGACTGTTTTTCCAAAGCTAACCAAATCAAACAAACAAAAAATCCAAACAAGCAAAGGACCCCAAACAAAATCACAAAAGTGCTGTATGTGCAAAACCCAGGTAGACATCTCGCAACGTTAAAACACGGTGTGAATCTAACGGTACAACAGAGCATATGTCCCTGTCCTCAGCATTTCCTGAGTGTATCATGCTGTGCAGGCACAGGGTTAGGTGCTGTAGGATAAGAGCTGTGATAGGAAAATTCGCTGTTACCACAGGTACTCAGTACCTGGCCAGCCTCCACATCCTACATTATATTCTGTGTATCAGACAAGGAGCATTTCTGGGAAATCTGCACTTTCAATGCCACACGCTGAAGCAAATTTATTCTCTGTAAATTGTATTCTATATTTGACTTCACTCACAGTTCAGGGGGGGGAGAAAATAAATCCCAACATAGCCTGGTTAGCTCAGTTTTATAGCAGTATTTGGTTGGGGGGTGGGATGGCAGGAAGGAGAGAGGGAGCACACCGTGATAAACAATCACTTAGGATTTTAAAAAGTGCTTACTATGCTATTGATTCCAGTTTCTGACAGGTCAAACATCACAGTGATGGGTTTCCCATTTTCTCTCTTCGCATAACGCTCCAGCCAAAATGCGATGAGCTTCTTTTTGTCCAGGATGGTTTTATTGTCTTTTACATGATACTTCACCCTGATCCACACTTTGAGGAGAACATTAGATGAAACATAAAAAAAAAATATGACTTTAAAATATGACTTTATACATATTTCATTCTATCCTTTTCATTTTTCCATTTAGAATTCATTTTATTTCTCAGATCAAAAAATATCTCTCCCTTTTTAAAAATGAGAACTAATGCACACTTGGGAACCTTAAAGAGGAGTAGCAGGAAGGAAACTATTTTTCCACCGCCTTAGGAAATAAGTAAACTTCACTAGTAAGGAAGGGGGAGAGAAAATACAGGTGAACAAACAATATGTGGTAATAACCTAAGAGTACTCTTCACCATGCTTAACAAAACAAAAGCCTTGGTCCTATCTTTCCTTCCAGAGGAAAAGCCCTGGAGGCACTCTGTAAGTGTGAGCCTTGCCCTGCATGTGTCCTGCATGGGGGTGGAGTGTGGCAAAGTGTTCAGAGTGGTGGCAGCGGAGACAGAGTGCTGAGTGGTGACAGGAGGAGCTAAACAGAGTGGGTGTGAAGGACCCTGAATGATATGCTAAGGCGTTTTTGATCTTCCTATGGCCAACATCTCTCAGGCAGCAGCTTGCAGGGGAGAAAGGAAGAGGCAGAGAAGGAAACCAACAGATGATGCCCAGGAAAGGGATTGGGGAGAAGGGGACAGGGAGGGACTGAGCTGAGGAAGTGCTGGTGAAAATGGGGAGGGGTTCCCTGAAGCACAGGCAGACGGAAGAGTGTATGCTGAAAGGCATATTGCTTATCTCATTTTTGATTCTAATAAGTGTATTTCCAGTAGGACATGATCTCACTCATCTGGGGGGAATGGTGAACAACATAGACTGATGAACAAGAACAGACCCAGAGATAAGGAGCCATGGGTCAGACTGTTGGACCTCAGAGGGAGGGTGGGAATAAAAGGGGGAGATCAACCAAAGGACTTATGTGCACACATATGAGCCTAACCTGTGGTCAAGGACAACAGGGGGGTGGGGGCATGAGTGGGGGGGTGAGGGATTGTAATGGGGGGATGAGGACAAATATGTGATACCTTAATCAGTATAGAAATTTAAAAAAAATACCCCCCCCCAAAAAAAAAGAGTGTATGTTTGTTGGCCTGTGCTGGGCAGTACAGAGAGAGAGAGAGCAGGGGGTGGGACACTGATGTTCAGCTGTGTGTTGTGGTGAGGGCAGCAGGCCAGCAGTCCATCTGGTGGCACCAGCCAGTGAGGGTCAGTGAGGTGATGCTGTGGGCTTGCCCCTGCCTAGGGACTCTGCCTGGGACGGGGTTCTGACACTCCTGCCTAGGCTTAGCCTTGGCACTACACCAGGCTGGGTTTTGGGCGAGGGGGAGGGAAGAAAGTCCTTGGACAGCAGGGTGAGTGCCACTGTTTTTCCTGCGATCACACACATTGAAGAAGAAGCTAGAGGGGCAGACTGGGAAACCTGAAAAAAGTCCATTTATTAGCCATTAGGGACTGTCAAAAAAGTTTTTCTGTAAAAATACTAGGGTGAATTTTAATATCACAGTCAAATTACAAAGAAGATAATGACTCTGAATTACATAATTTTGGCTTTGTTAGGGGATGTAGCATTTGCCTTTGCTGTCCGTTTTATTATAATGCAAACAGTAGTATAACTACTGAGTATCTGATGCTCAGTTACAGGAAACTTGCAAATAGAGAAAGTGCTGCCTCTTACTAATTCTGTTGAGAAAGATAAGTACATCTTGAAGTCTTAAAAAACCAGTATAAAAGTTAAATATACTCACGCAACTTGTTGCCTTCTTTGTCATAACCGTGGAGGTAAATACCACCAATTTCCAGTAACCATTTGGGAATAGAGGCTTCAGTCAGATCTAAAAAGTGATAAACATTGATGAGTAATTGTAACTTAGGCACCTTTTAAAAAAGAAAACTGACAAGGTAAAGGTTAAAGTTCTATAGTAGGTCTCATAGAAAAAAAAAAAGATAAAGCTTATTCAAACATCTGGATAGAATGGCAATAAAAATGGTGTTTCTTACCAAGTAAACAAACTACATAAAAGCATAGATGAAAGAAATGAAAAACATCCATTGCCTTTTAACATCAGTCATTATTTATGTTGACACATTTCCATGTTCTGTGTTCCACATAAAGACTTGCAAACACATATTATCACTATTGGCCAATCTCACGAGATCATGCCAGCAAAGATCCACATGACAGCTTCAGAATTAATGGGAAAAAAAAAAGATCACTGGTTTCTTTCGCAAAATATGATTTTTCTACAGAGTTTGAAATCCAGCAAAGTTTAATACTCTTTATAATCTCGGGGCAATTGGAAAATAGTTAAAAATGCTAGCTCCTTTAGCAGGACGAACAAAAAGGGCCTGTTTAGCCTCTAGTGAGGCAGATAACCAATGGAGCAAGGTGGCCAGTGCCAAGGCTTTTGTTACATTCACTGCTACTTCACCTAGAACTTCCAAAGATTCCTGTATCCTCCCTCACTTCCTTTTATCATCTTCCTGCTGTTTGCAACTAGAAACAAGCAATCCTATGTGAGAAAAACTACAAAGTTTAAAAGTTTATTCTGTGCTTGTGGTTGAGAAAGATCAGATTTATATTTATAAATGTTTCAGTTTGTTGAAATTACCTACAGTTTTGACATTTCCAAGCAAATTATTATTATTTTTTTAAGTATTCCCCTTCCGAAGGATTCCTTCTATAAGAGTGAAGAGTGGGGAGAGTATCTGCTCTGGAGTTATTTGTTGATTATTCTGTGTAAGACTCCAGACTCAGTCACTGCAGAGATTATAATCTTCAAGGTCAGAAAAATCCTTCTTTACACCCATCAAACGCAAACGTTATGCCAGTTTCTTGGTAAATCTTTAGAAGAGAGATAATGGGTAACCTTGCCTGAGAACAGTCCTTTCTATACTTGAAGACTATTATAACCCCCCCCCCCTAAGTTTTAAAACTCGTTTGTGGAGAAAATTTTCATCTCGAAGTGTGCCTTCAAATGAAGCAGTGAAAAGGCGGCTGCCAAAGGCATCCTTGAGGATAAGCTTGCTTTTTGGGGACCCCCACTCATTCATTCTATAGGGAACCACCATCCGCACAAGGAACTCTGGGGATAAAGACAGATTCTTCACTCACAGTGGTCTCATAATCTGTGCCTGCTTAATTCGGTACCATTAAACAATAGCTGTATTCTGATGTTGATGATGGCTGCCATGGATATTTGCAAATATACTATTACTTACTGGTAAGAGTAAACCGGTTACATTTGTACAAGGGACAGGATAGGGCCAAGCTTAAATGGAACAGCTTACCGTGGACCGCCATTTCTTTCCGCCACTGAAAGCTCTCATCGATCATCTTCAATGTTTCGTCTACAGCATCATGTCTCCAAAATAAGTAACTTTCAACCCAGTTATCATCTTGTTGTAGCCTTTCAACATCACGTGGATCATATTTATCTGGCTTATCTGGGGACACACAGAAATAAATATCCAAGTCAGAGAGATTCTGCAATGAATAGTAACAAACACTGACGTCAAGGAACAGAGAGAGCCGAAAGCGAAAGATAAACTATTATATTTGTAGAACCGGGATGTTGTTCAGATGAAAATGCTACTTAAAGGATTAATGAATTTCTAAGTGTGAAGACAATGAAGTTATCTAAAGACTGCATGTTTACTTTACACAAACCACCAAAGATTTTAAAAAATAAGACCACAGTAAAATATTTTGCACAACACGCTCTATAACTATAAATCAATGTCTGCGAAGATCAATTATGTTACCTGAACTTGAAATCCTCACCTAGTCAGTGAAAAATAAAGTTTTACATAAAAAGAACTAAATTGTACTTAAGACATGTTTGGCAAGTGTTTTGGAAAACTGACCATTAGGCAGCAGTTAACATTTCCTGGGAATAATTGTTTTCAATAATTTCTCAGTATCTATTTACAAACATGCTATGGTCCTACCAACCTGTGGATCTGATATTCCTCCTTCCATATCCTTTTATTTTTCTGTACCAGAAATTTCCTGGTCTCCGCACAACCACCTATGAACAAATTCTACTGTTCTGCAAGACTCCTTTCAAATGGTTCCTCTTCCAGGAATTTTCCCCAGAACCCAGAAGCCATTCCTTCCCACCTGTGAACAGCTACAGGCCTTGAACTCAGGCTTAAGACACTTTTCTTTTCCCCTGGAGTCAGTTACTGGCATGCATGCGTATCTTTTCATACAGAGACCTTAACGGCATTGTTCATTGATTCTGAAAATCCCCAAAGCAGATTACAGTAGTGCTGATGACAAGGCCTTCCTTCAGAAAACATTTGTTTGACACAATCTATTCCTTTTCTGATTTTATTTTCTTGGTTAATGGTACCCTCCCAGGAGCCCAAAAGAGAAGTTTCAGAAAATTCTCTGGCTCCTTCATGTCCATTTTATGTTCGCATCTATTAGTTGCCAGGTTTCATAGATTCTATATCTTCCATTTTCTGGGACTTATGTCAGACCCACAGAGATAGTAGCTTAAAGGGCAGGAAAATACAAAGCGCACTCAGAGAATTATCTTCTTTGAGTCTCAGTTTTCTTATCTTTAGCTACTTTACGTACTCACTGGGTTGCTTGAGGATCAGATAAAAATGTATATATGAAAGTACTTGGAAGTTTAAAGAACTACGAAATACCAGATTTGGCTATAAATCATGCATTTTTAGTTACCTTGGAAATGGCTTTCAATATCTGGGCTCTATTTTTCTGTTTGATCTATACAATGAATGGTTCTTCAGTAGGTAAACCTTAGAAAATAGTTTTAGCTCTGTTATTTGAAAGATCTATCACTATTCAAAACGAAACTTTTCTTATATTGTAATTTATGGACGTGAGTTGGGTATAAAACACTTCATGTTGTTTAGTAAGAAGAGCCCCTGGGAGTAGCTGTTCCCTGAAGAAGCACCATTTATTTTGGTTTCTGGACAGCCCTCTGCACTGGACCAGTGAAGTGTTTTCCTTGAAATTATAGGCTGATTTCATTCATTTTCAAGAAAATGTCTGCCCAATATTCAAGTCAGAATAACCAGTTGTTCTTTCAAATGAAAATGGTGGTCTATCAAAAAGTGGCTAATTTAGCTGCCAACTCAGCCTGCAGAAGAGTTTGATGCATACTTCCCGAATTTATCACAGAGAACATTAGAAAACACACACTCAGGGGTCAAGTATTAATACATTTACTGCTTCATTAGGGGGTTTCTAAAATAAAACTGACTTAAGAAGACTGAAAATGCTGATAATGAAGACTACAATGACCACTAGTTTTGTTTTTTTTACCTAATATATTTTATTGATTTTTAACAGAGAGGAAGAGAAAGGGATAGAGAGTTAGAAACATCGATGAGAGAGAATCATCGATCAGCTGCCTCCTGCACACCCCCTACTGGGGATGTGTCCGCAACCAAGGTACATGCCCTTGACCGGAATCGAACCTGGGACCTTTCAGTCCACAGGCTGACGTTCTATCCACTGAGCCAAACCGGTTTCAGCTGACCACTAGCTCTGATTCGGGCTGAGGAGCCAGATGGATTCATATGTGGATATGTAAGAGATATAATATCTTAGATGTCACATCTGTCTACTGATCTGTACGGGTCTTTCAATGTTCTTTAATAGTATATAATTTTTCCACAAAAGAAAATGTCATACATTTCTTCCATTAGATTATTACAATTTAGAGATTTTTGTGTTGCTATCATGAGATAATAATGATAGACTGACTGGCAAACTTCACATCTATTTTTCTTGCCATATTGATAACTAGGTCATTTTATATACCGTAGAATTATAAAATAACTAGAGGCCCAATGCACAAAATTTGTGATTGGAGGGGGGTCCCTCAGCCCAGCCTGCACCCTCTCGTCATCTGGGACCCAACTGCCGGTTTAGGCTTGCAGGATCAGACCTAAACCAGCAGTGACATAAACCTTGCAACCTAGAACCACTGATTCCTGTTTGCCTGCTTTGCCTACCTGCCTAACCACTAGCCTGCCTGCCTCATAGGCCCTAACCACTAGCCTGCCTGCCTCATCGCCCCTAACTGCTCGCCTGCCTGCCCTAACTGCCTCTGCCTTGGCCCCTGCTGATGCAGTTTCCTCTGGAAGGACGTCCATAATGATGTCCAGAAGGTCATTCAGCTGTCCGGTCTAATTAGCATATTATGCTTTTATTATAGATAGTGGAGATCAAGTCTTTTTCCTGACTTTATGAGAGTTATGTTGAAGTTTCACAATTAAACATGACATTTACTGTAGGTTTTTAGAAGATACACTTAAAGGTTAAGTTTGCTAAATGTTTTGCTTATTTGCTTTTCATAAAGTTGAATTAAAGCCAGTTTGGTTTCTCTGTATTGAAATAAACATTTTCCTCAATTTTGTTAATGAATATACTATGTTTGTGTTGGCTTAAACAAATATAGAAAAAATGAAAAAACAGAACAAATATGGTTATCTAAAGAGGGGAGAAAAGGGAGTGAAAAGGCACAAGAGATGAAAGACACTTCTCAGTGTTGATCTTCTTTGATTGTTGAACTGTATCTATTCAAACATTTCACTGAGAAGCATGATGGTAATGTGATAAATTCCTCTGCAGCATTTTCTCACTATGAATCATCTCTGCATTCCTGGGACTAACAAAACTGCCTGCACCTTATGTGTATGTGAATGACTTCATGGTGGCGGGTGGTGAGAATCATCGAGATCTATGACTACAAACTGAATTTCTTTAATAGTCACTGATCTATTTAGGTTTTTGACTTCTCAGAGATAATTTTGGTGGTCTTTCTTTCTCCAAAAAGTTTTACATTTAATCTAAGTTTAATAACTTAATGTGATAAAACTGGGCATTGTATTATTCTCTATTTATTTAAAAAAAAAAATCTCTGTTATATACTAGAGGCCAGTGCACGAATTTGTGCACTAGTGGGGTCCCTAGGCCTGGCCTGCAGGATCAGGCCGAAACTGGCTCTCCAACATCCCCAAGGGTCCTGTATTGCAAGAGGGTGCAGGCCAGGCTGAGAGACTCCACTGGTGCACAATCGAGGCTGGGGAGGGACATGGAAAGTTGGCCAGCCAGGAGTGACCATGGGAGGAGTCCAGGGCATGTCTGGCCCATTTCACTCAGTCCCGATTGGCTGGACCCCAGCAGCAAGCTAACCTACTGGTCAAGGCATCTACCCTCAGCTGGTCAGTGCACATTATAGTGAGCAGTTGAGCAGCCTTAGCATGTCATTAGCATATTACGGATGACCGGACACACCCTCTGTGTGTGGGGTGACCAGTAGGGTGATCAGGGCCCCACTCGCTTGCACCTGCCTTAGCTTGGTGCTGCCTGCATCCGCCGCCACTCACTCCAGGTTCCCCATTCCCCATTAGGTGATTCCCCTGTGGGCTGGGAGCAGCTCCTGCATTGAGCACCTGCCCTCTGGTGGTCAGTGTGCATCATAGTGATTGGTCGTTCTGCTGTCTGGTCAATTTGCATATTATGCATATATATTTTTTATGCATATAAGATAATTTGTAGTTGCTCAGCTTTAAGTATTTTGTAATTTACATTGTGATATCCTCAATAGCCCACAGGTTATTTAGCAGAAGAATTACAAACTTTGTTAGGAAGATGTTAACCTATGGGTTATTCAGAGGTGTGTTATTTCAGTATCCTAGCATTTGATTTATTTTTTAAGTACCTGTTTATTATGACTGCTAACAGTTTTTTAATGGTGTGCGAAAATGGTCAAGCTGCTATGGAATTTCTGAGACTTTATGATTTAATATGTGGTGAGTGTTTAAAAGCTCAATCAAAAATATATATTCAAAAGAATATATTCTCTATTGGCATGATAGGAGAGTCTTTACAATAACACATACATATATATATATATATATATATATATATATATATATATATATATTTATCAACTTTGTTCTTGGGGTGTTAAAATCTAAAATCTTAGGGATTTCTTGCTTGCTTGTTCTGAGAATCTCTGAAAGGGGTTTGTTAAAATCATTCAATATTTCTGTGGATTTCTTGAGTTTCCCTTGTAATTCTGGGATCTTTTGCTTTATGTATTTTAAGGCTGTATCATTAGATACTTTGTATGTTGTTCCTAATTGTTGTATCAATTTTGGTTCCTTTTATCTCCAGTAGTATCCCTTTTCATATGTATTTTCACCTTAGTAACATTTTGTCTAATGAAAGTATAGATTACATAGGATTATTCTGGTTAATATTTGTTTTATATATACATATATATTTTCTCTCTCTTTATTTCAACTTTTCTACATTAATTTCTTTTAAAGTAGTCTATTCTAGGCAGCATGCAATTAAGATTGAAAAAAATCTGCTCTGATAAGTATATATTCGTTCATATTTGTGGTAACTATCAATAAAAGTTGGATTATTTCTGCTGTTTCACTGTATTTTC